CTGCTGATCTAGCAGTAGCCTGCAGTGCTGCATTTAACCACTGCGCCACCTTGGCTCTTAAATCTGAACTCTGATTTTTACCAATTTCTTCATTCAGGCTGTTGTATTCTATGACTTCAATATAGTTTCGGATGGAAAAGAAAATATAAATGTATGTTAAAAAACCAAAATCAAATAATAAAAACAAATTCAGTGCCTTAGAGCCACACTATCAAAACCTGTTAGATGTTTGATTGTTGTGAATTGTTCATAATTTGATTATTTGAGATGTTGAGAAAAAATGATGTGAAACATAAAGGATATGGGCTGGTTTTTTTTCCTGATTTCCAGTTTGGTAATGCACAAAAGTTTTAGGGGGGAAAGGATTTTGTCATCATGTTGCTCAGTAATCTTAGATCCTCCCATTCTCTCTTTTGCTTAGATCAGATAAAGTTCGTAAACGAAACCAGGAACAGTTGCGCAAGGCCCATAATTGCTTTATCCCACAAGGGAAACCGTCATTAGAGGAACTTCATTCATCCTAGGCTCTAGTCTAGATTGTATATCGGACATGTCGAAATCCCAGACTTTAAATACACGTTGTTTTATTGCCACTCGTTTGCCCACAGAGAACAAAGAATTTTTTTGTAACAAGATGAAACTGCTCTATTCGAAAGTATGTAGGACCAAATCTAGTCTCGGATCTAAAAAGGCATATGCATTATGCATTTTTCTGATCTTTATCTGATCTAATGCATTAATAGTGAGCATAACTGGGCTGTTCTATTGTGTTGCTCTTCGACAGCTGTTGCCAGATGTATCTGTCCCAATCTGCTTGGCGTTCTGACCGCCAGTGCAGCAATGTTTTATGAATCGAAACCCTTTATATTTAGAATCATTGGCAGCCTAAATAAATGGCATAGAGACCCTTCAAATGGGGAAAAAAGATAGCTCAGATTTAGGAACTTGGCAACTTGAAGATGTGGGGACTTCAATTCCCAGAATCCACCAGTCAGCTATTGCCTGGGGAATTCTGGGAGTTGAAGTCCACGCATTTTCAAGTTGCCATTTTTTAAAAAAAAAACAACTACTGAATTGCTTCAATGGCTTCTTCGCGAGTGAATGACGACGTTTTAATGTGCCCATAGCCGGAACAGAAAATGAGGTGGTCGTAATCGACTAAATAGAACAGTGTTTCTCAACCTTGGTAACTTGAAGATGTCCGGACTTCAATTCCCACAATTCCCCAGCCAGCGAATGCTGGCTGGGGAATTCTGGGAATTGAAGTCTAGACATCTTCAAGTTGCCAAGGTTGAGAAACACTGAAATAGAAGTTACAGTATGGAATGGTTGCTAATCCAATTTATTATCTCTATATTTGTCCCTCTTAATGTTCGCCCTCTGACTCTAGGGGGCGGAACATTACGCAAACTGCTCAAGCCCCTCCCAGTTTGCGAAAAGTATTTCCGGGTCTGTGGGTTCCCTGCGTACGCTTTCTTGGGGCGCTTGTTTGCTCAAGTCTTTTCAGCGGAGGAGATCTGTTCTCATAGGAAAGCAGCAGAACCAATTGCAGTCCCAATATTGCCAATACAGAACTCATTTCTTTCTTGCCGCGTGGATGTTGCCTGCATTGCAGAGTCTTGAGGGTGGAATCCCAAGGAAAAGCAACATTGCCAGGGTGGAATATTAGAAATCACCTTTTCCCCAGCTAAGAAAACACTTGAGATATTGCGGCCTGTGTGTGCATGATTGGACGCGGCATTTATGTTGGCGGAAAGACTGCACCATGTGAATGTTGGATGCGGCATTTACTTAGGGATTCTCTAAAACAGGAGTTGGCCAGGGATACTAGTAAGCACCTGGAAGTGTAGCTTGAATAAGTACTTATTTCTGTTTTGGAGCCATAAGCCAGCAAAAAAAAAAATCAACAGTGGAAACTTGATAATATGTGTATGCAATAGAATTTTTAGTAAGTTTAGAGGAACAGTTAGTATATTAGCTTGGAAGTATTTATTGGAATTTTTAGAATATTATCAGAATTGTATTCATTTATATCCCACCTTTATTAGTTGTAAATAACTTAAGGGAGAGAACATCTAAGACTCCCTCCTCCTCCCCCCCATAACAACAATCGGTTCAGAGAGTTACTGGCCCCAAAGACACCAGTTGGCTTTCATGCCTGAAGCAGGACTGCAATTCACCGTTTCCTGGTATGTAGCCAACTGCTTTAACCACTGTACCAAACTGGTTTTCCAAATAATAATAGTCAGAGCATATTAGGAATATATATTGTATATAATAGCCTTACAGAAAAAGTTGTAGCTGTTTTAGCCTATGAAGAGATTCCACCTAGACTAGTTTGGTCATATTTTCCTGAAATAGGGGAAATTTTGGAATGACAACTATTTTCTTTAGGATTAATCATAGTTATCAAAAAGAAACAAATTTCTCTTTACTAAACAAAGTGAAAACCTACTAAATGTTTGCCTTTTGCTTCTAGAAGGATTTGTGGGGGTTCTTTTCCTTTTGAACATCTGGTGATTGTATCAGTGAAGATTCTCAGTCATCCAGGTAGAGTTGCTTGGAAGTTGAGTCACGGGGAAAAAGACTTGAAAGAAAAATATTTTATTGGTTACATTTGTGCATCCAGAATCATCATTAGTGTCCTGAATTAAAAAAAAAAAAGAATCTCACATATTTCTAAGGGTACCACATTTACCTGCACCTGTTTTGTTGAAACCTGCCAAATTAGTTGAAACCAGCAGTCCTATCCATTCATAACAGTAAATGTTGCCATTATCATTAAACGGTCACCTATCCAGCCCTTTCATTTCCAGATGCAACTCCTTTCGGAGCATCTTTGAATTAAAACAAAACTTGCTTTCCTTTCATCCAATAGGTAAGAACCCTGGTTTTTATAAATGATAGTAAAAGCAAATTATATTTTGATAATAAAAGGATGTTAAACTGGCCTGTTAAAATTCTTTGGATAATATACCTTGTCTTGAAAAAGGAGAGTATTGTAGACAACTTTTCAAATTGTAGGTAACTTATTTCAAGATTTTGTTTTGTTTTTTCCCCCTGACAAGTGAAGGTGGCCTTATGTTTCATCACTCCAGAGCAGGGATGAGCTGCTGCCAACATTACTGCTGGTTCAGTGCATGCGCACTTTTGTGCGCGCACTCACACTTCACTCTGTGTGTGTGCGCAGTTGCCAATAAATAGGTCTGTGCATGCGCAGAACATTTAAAAATGAAAAAATATGCCAGGGAATATGCCAGGGCACAACCGGAGAACCGCTGCCAGTTCCAGCAACCCAGGCCCACCAACCACTACTGGTTTGGCTGAATCGGTCCAAACTGGTAGGAACCCACCTCTGCTCCACAATAGAACATACAGAAAAATTTTATCATACATTCTTGGAAAATATTTTTAAAAATATTGTTAAATTGGAGATTAGTTGATTATGTTTTATACAGATTCTTTTAATGGACTAACTCAAAAGACACACACCCAATTTTATATTACTTTGATTCTAAACTTTGTTAAATATGAAAATTTTCATTGCCTTAATGTATAAATAAAATACATTTGGGACTTTACAATTTTAGATTGCTTGAAATGCAACTGATCTAAAATAAATTGTTATTGAGGGCATTATGAATCTATATTACAGGGCAATTAACAGCTAAAAATAGAAACATGTCTTTTTTAAAATGTTGAGTGTTGTTGGAATTTCACTTTAAGAAGTATGTCAACATGCAAAAAAACCATCATCTAAGTTTTACCATTTTAGAAACCTGTACAGAAATATAAGAAAATAATCACTGCAAAATGTAAATAAGTTTTACCAAAACAATGGTAAAATAAGCCAGGAAAATATAACGCTCAGGTAAATTCGAAGTGTGCATAGGTAGTCACACTTCAAGATTGTTTTTCCAAATCCTTTTAATTAGAAAAAGGAAAGTAGGCATGCTACAAAGTGCCGATATTTAACATCATTTTTATTTACAGGAATGCTTTTTGGCCGCATAATTATTCTTAAGACAATAAAATGGAAATTGTCATCTGTCCCCAACAAGTCAAATAAATAACATACCACTCAACAGCCAGCCTAAATAAACATCATGACACAAGCTTCACACTTTTGTACTTGCCCAAGAAAACAAGTACGCGGGAGCAGAATTTGTATCACAATATTATGAGCTACATTTATATTTACTGCCTCTTGAATGCCCATGGAGAGGGAAGATGTGCATTAGGAACATACTGGAGTTGGAACAGGGAGCAAAGAATGACATAATGGCTTCCCCAGAATCTTCTTTTGCAAGGAAGCAATAGAGGAACAGAAACAAGAACTTTACTAATTTTAAGGGGCCAGGACATAGCCCAAAGTTCTTGTCTGAATCCTTTTCTTCTTAACTCTGAAAGGGAAGAATAGTCAGCAGATCCACAGGAGCACTGCTGCCTCCAAGCTAAATATGAAAGTGGAGAGGCTAAAGTACCAGATAGCTGTCAGAACACCTTAGAAAAACTAGTCTACTCAGAAATAGGTTATTATTTGAAGTAGGTAAACAGTACATTTCCAAGAAAGTACTGTAGCACTAGGAAGTGCTTGGCTGAAGATCATGAATTTTTTGAACAAAAGCTGTCTTTTGTACTTGCTTCTGTGATAAGTTGACCCCAGATGTGCTAATCTTTATAAACCACCCTTATCCAGTTTCTAAAATCTCTTGATAGATTTTGAATATCTTATTCCTTCATCCTTTGAAGTTAATAGGGGTGATAGTTCTTATTTGATTTGCTCTGTGCTGCAATTAAAATTACCTGATTATGTCCCTTAGTCTTAATGTTTGAATTTTGACACAGAATAAAATATTGTAAAATTGCCTGCTGAGATATTTGTGATTGGCTGCAGCTATTCAATATCAGTGAATTGTCCTGGATTCTAGTAATATGAGAATAGGAAAAAAATCCTTGTTTACTCTCAATTTTATGCACGTTATTTTATTTGTCTTTCTTCTAAGCTAAAGTTCATGAGATCTGTCTTATCTTTCTTCAAAGAGCAGTTACTCCTTTTTGCTTATTTTTCTGCTCTACAATGATTAAATCACAGCTATAAACATTAATCTTTAAATGCTTATGTTAAAAACATGCCTCTTTCACCTCAAGTATTAGCAATTTTTTGTAAAACAGTTTATTAGCAAAATCTGTACAATATAAAGGAGAAGAAATCAAAGATATTGTTAGGGACTGCTTTCATCAATATCCTTGTCTGGATCTCTCTCTGGATTTTCATCCTGTTGCTGCTTCTTCCAGAGTTTAGCCATTGCAAGCAGTTTGAGGTTGGGTTGATTGGCAGCATCTTCTGGGAAGATATAATCATAATATTCTTCCCAGCCGGCATCAGACTAGAAAGAAAAGTGTGGACATAATCAAACCTCCATTATTACAAGAATTGTTTTAAGCTATGTGACATTACCACACAGCATTTGCTGTTTTCCTATCCTACTATTTTTTACAAAGTGCATTAAAAACCAATTTAGGCTATTGCTTGTTTTAAAAATCCGAGAGAACTAAGGAAATACCTTGTCTCTCTACTGGATGTTTAGAAACCTTTATCTGAATAGATACTAATAGATGGGATGATTTTTCCTGAATAATATTTCCTGAACACTAAGCTTTGTTATGAAATATTAATAAACTGCTGCATCCTTTACACACATACATCACAGAGTACAGCATTAGATTCGGTAGATTCTTTGAATTCACTCTAATTAATTAATGTCAGTCAAAAAGAATAAGCAGAAGGAAGAGGGAAAAACCTGCAATAAGGCCTACCTGCAATAGTTACACTGCTATACTATATTACCGTGATGGTGAACCTATGGGATGTGTGCCACCAGGTGGCACACGGAGCCATATCTGCTGGCACACAATCTGTCAGCTCCAGCACGCACTGATCACCTGATTTTTGGCCTTCTGGAGGGCCAGGGGAGGATTGTTTCCGAACTTCTGGTAGGCCCGTTGGGCCCTTTTTTTGCCCTTCCCAGGCCCCAGAGAATTCATAGAGCCCCGGGAGGGCAAAAACGGCCTTCCCTGGCCTCCCAGAAGCCGGAAACAGATCATTTCCGAATTTCCGGTAGGCACGTTTTTCGCCCTCCCCGTGCTCCGGAAACTTTCCTGGAGCCTGGGGAGGGCGAAAACGGCCTCCCCTGGCACCCAGAGGAAATACCAAGCTCAGCTTGGAGGCGAGCAGTGCGGCACATGTGTGTGTGTGTGTGTGGGGGGGGGGTTTCCACCACAAAACCGCTTTCGACTAAAGCGCGCTCAACGAAACCGCGTAGCTGAAGTCATCGCAGCGCGACGAAAAAAGCACGCTGTAAACGCTAAAGCTAAAATTAACCCCTAAACCTAAACCTAACCCCCCTAAACCTAATCCTAAACCTAACCCTAAACCTAACCCTTAACCTAACGCTAAACCTAATCCTAACCCTAAACCTAACCCTTAACCTAACCCTAAACCTAATCCTAAACCTAACCCTAACCCTTAACCTAACCCTAAACCTAATCCTAACT